GAGGGGACGGGAGAGGAGGGGATGCGGTGTGAGGGGACGGGAGAGGAGGGGATGTGGTGTGAGGGGACGGGACGGGACGGTGGCTCCGCCCACACAGCCGCGCGCCGCCTGGCGCCCCCTGCCGGCCGTGCGGGGCGGGTCACGTGACCGCGCTCAGCTGACCGCGCGGGGAGCGGCGGCGCGAGCCCAGGGTGAGCGCGGGGCCGGGCTGGATCGGGATCGGGCCGGGCTGGATCGGAGCGGGCGCGCCCTCGGCCGCGGCCCCGCGGCTCACTGTCCTTCTCCCGCAGATGAACGGGGACGCGGCGGAGCCGGCTCCCCTGTGGGAGCGGCCCTGGTCGTTGGACGAGATCCGTAAGGGCAGCCAGAGCTGGTCCTTGGCCTCGGACGCCGGGGTGAGTGGTGCGGCTGGGACCGGGCCTGAGCCCGGCACCGCAGGGGTGCGCGGGCCGCGGCCTCCCGGGGGCTGGGGCTGTGTGCGGGCCGCTGCTGCCGCCCAATGGCCGAGGAAGGGCCGGGGGTCTCCAGAAGGGCCTGCCGCGGGAAGGACGCAGCCCCCCGGGGCCACGGGGGCGGAACGCGGGGAGCGCAGCCCCGGCCGGGGCCCGGCGGCTCTCCCGTTGCTTTAACCCRCCGGTCCGGACGGGAAAACTATAATGAGGAGTTGGGCCGAACGGAGATGCAGAATGAAGTGGCTGAGACCTGGTCTTGTGTGTGTGCATGGGTGTGTTTCAGTTTAAAGTGTGTTTGTTTTGGTCCTCAGTTGAAATGTATGATCAGTTCTGCCTGTCTTACAAGCGGTGTCAAAAGAAAAAGAGTTGGATGGTGACTATTGCTTTCCTTTGTTGTTGTCAACAGCTTCTGCATTTTCTACAAGAGTTCTCGCAGCAAACCATTTCCAGGACGCATGAAATCAAAAAACAAGTGGATGGATTGATTAATGAAACAAAAGCTACAGACTGTCGCCTTCATAATGTCTTCAATGACTTTCTTATGTTATCCAACACGCAGTTCATAGAGAATGTGAGTGTGTTCTAGTACAACATCAGGCTTGTACTTCAGATATTGTCATTGTCTCTTAATGTACTGTGGAGAAGTRATTCAGCTTTTTGGCAAGTCTGGTGCTAATTTAGGGTTCAAGTGACTTTTAATTGCTTTCTGTTAAAGGATATCCTAATTTCCTTGTGAGTGATGCATTATTCAATACTGGCAGGTTCTCTTTGCTTCTTCAGCGATACATTCCTTCCTTGTTAATACATGATCTGGAGATCAGAGTTTTGGTTTTAGTACTATGAATGAGTTGGGGTYTCTGGGATGTCTTGGTTTATCTTCACAAGTTGCATGAATGTAACATTTGTCTGCGCTTACCTGTCTAAATATGAGGAATGTTATACAGAGCTCTAATTTGCCTAGTGGTATTTTACTCTAAAAGCACTTGGTATTAAAGGCCTGCAGGCAGTTGTCCTCTACTTGGTCATGATAAGCCTCTTTTCTAGATACTGTTGCTACATTAGAGATAGCTCAATTTTGAAAGACAAAGCTAGGCTTGAAAGCATATTGCAACATTGTGTCACTAGAAGCATGTGTCTAATTAAATGTAAAGCTTTAATAATATTCAGGTTTGTGGGGAATTTTTTAGCACCATGAGTTTTATCAGGTTTTTTGTTTTTATCAGCATTGTTTCAGGCCGTACATATCTCATGGCATTCTTATAGGAAAGATGGTAGCAGAGGAAAAGATGGAAAAAGGTTTTTTTTGCTGGTAATGGATTTCTTCAGAGCTGCAGTGTCTTTYCTGTCCTTGGCTGTTCAGCATAATATTCTACTGAGAACAGTTTGTACTAAATGTTCTAAATCTCTTGTGCTTACAGCTGTTTGTTCTCAAATTTAAGTGCACAGAAATAGTTCTTCATTTCTRAATCTCAGTTTAGTTAGTGATCTGTCTCTTCCCAGTGGATAACTGCACTGTGTCTGAGATTTGGATTTAGGTTTGCAGGTTCCAGGAAGACCTTTTGATTATCATGCAAACTGAAGGTTGAGGGATGTTTTGAACCCTCTCTGTGAGGATGGGAGAAGGGTGAATGCTAAAGAGGGAAAGCTACTAAATGACGGAAAACTAAAGGAAAGTAGACAGCCTCTAAGTAAACTATAAGTCCAACTCTGAAGATGTCTAGAATAGCTTACATTGGGAGGCTGAAAACAGTGCATTTTTTAACATGTCCAGGTTAATCTGTTAACAGACTTGAATTRTCTCGGTTGCATTGAGAGGCTGCCTATGGTACCTTCAGTGTGATGACCTCAATGCATGGAGGAGGCTATGAAAGTGCTTGACATTATCCAAGGCTTCCTTTTTTAAATGCGTAATTAATTGATGGGTAATTAACTGTATATTCTGTGGTGGTAGCCATAGTTTAGCCCCTCTAGTGGTACATTGTTCTAACATAAATTAATTTTGTTTGTCTTTTTAGAGAGTATATGATGAAGAAGTGGAAGAGCCTATTCCAAAAGCTGACATTGGAGACAAAGCAGAGCAGGTAGTTAAATTCAGCTGCCTTGAGTGCTGTCAGTATGTTTGCAGCCATTGTCTACCTTCTCATTTTCAAACTTACTTTGTATACATTTACAGCTTACAAACCAAACTCCTTCCTTTCTCCTTGAAGTCTCTCTGTTGGATAGTATATGTCACATTCAGAGATAAAGTTGACAGCAACACTGGAGGCTACTACAGTGTGTGATGATGTTAGGGCCTCCCCAAGCTCAGTACTGTATGCAGCAGACAAGACTTATGCATTGATTTTTCAAGTGCTTATGCATGTTTTTCCAGCAAGAGGACTGAGGCCTTGGACCTTACTGGACTTGCAGGTAGTGAACTGGGGAAGCAGAATCTGACTGCAATAATTCCTASGAATAWATACTCCAAGTTCTTTGTATGTGTATATGTATATAGTACAGTCTAGATATATTATACCATAAATGTTTCTCTGATAGTYTGGAAGCACAAATAAGACAATATTKTGCTGGTGTGGATGTTTAGAACATCTCTGTTTCTGGAGTGATGGAGATGAATTAAGCAAAAAAACCCCAAACATTTGATTGTTCTTCTAATACGTATAGTGAAAAAGACTGTATTGATTTGAAATTAATGTTTTATCTGTGTGTTGCAGTAAGATTGCGTCTTGAGTAAAATGCAATGAATGTGTTTTTTCTTTTACTAAAGGAAAAGACGCGGGAACAGAAAGAAGCRGATCTAATTCCTAAAATTCAAGAAGCAGTGAATTATGGGTTGCAGGTTCTGGACAGYGCATTTGAACAGCTAGACATCAAAGCAGGCAACTCTGACTCAGAAGAGGAAGAAAGTAATGAAAGAGTAGAACTGATACTTGAGCCAAAGGTACAGARATCTGTTCTTGCTGGATTTGTTTTGCTTTCTTGAACTTGTTCTTTGCTTCTGTCAGCAGTAGCATCACATTAGCTAAAATTGATAACTATTACCTAGAAAGAGGGTTTGATAACTGCACCTGAAAGAGAAGTGCTCTTTGCTGAGCAATTCCTTGTGTACCCTGCTTGTCTTGCAGTTAGGTTGGCATGAAGGTATGGCACCCTAAAGAAAGTTAGTTCAATGTAGTGAACTTGGAAGGGGAAGCCTCAATTCTGTATGGGAGTGGGACATGCAAATTTCATGTTTCTTAGGTACAAACTATCTTTTCATGGGTGGTTTTTACCATCCCAGTAATTAAGAATCCAAGGTCCAGGATTTGGTATAAGATTCATGCCTGTAAATCTTTGTAAGAATATTCTTCTGTTAGATGGCATGTAGCAAACATGTTGGGACTTCACAARTAGAAGTAGCTACTTTGTTTGAGTGCCAAGAAGAATAAACCTCAGCTGGCCCACCCAGCTGTACATTGACTTCAAGCATGTTTGGTGGGACTCTGAACGAACTTGTATCTTCCTTGAGTTAAAACAAGCGGTATATGACTTCTGTCTTTGTCAGCCATGTAGAGCTATTCAGAGATGTCAGAATGACCTAGTGTTTTCTCTTGACAGGATCTCTATATTGACAGACCTTTACCTTACTTGATTGGCTCCCAGCAGTTTATGGAACAAGATGATGTTGGCCTTGGAGATCTCTCTAGTGAAGGTATGAGCTGGCCTGATGTCTTATTTCTATGCAAGTAATTAGTTCCTAGTCCAGGATTTTTGTCTGTTTTAACTCACCACTTTGGTTATCCAGTGTAGTGTGCTTGCATGTTTGGATGCAAGCTGTAATTAGCTGGGGAAAAAATATCATCATGCTGTAACAACCACTTCCAGTACACGAAACAGTAACATCTCAGTTACTTGTGCTTTGTRTATTAGAAATGCAAAGTGTTACAATTTCTTCAGCTTTCAAAGCGTTTTTAAATCGCTCTCTACCCACCTCAATTGTAGTTTTCTTCACAGTCTTCAAAACTGCTTAAAWGGTGGCCACATTGTTCTATGTCTGTCTGATCTTATTTTTTTTGTTTCCATTTAATTTAGAAGGGTCAGTAGATAGCGATCGTGGAAGTGTAATTGACAGTGAAGAGAAGGATGAAGAGGTAAGTGGCAAGTACCAGCTGCTTTGCACAAGCATTCATGAGTCCTTCGTTTTATGTGAGGCCATTAACTACCTTGTTTTTGATGCTGGCTCTCAAGAGAATACTGCACAATATTTGTTCCCTGTGTGTTGTGATAAATATACTTTCTGATATTGTTCCTATGCAATGGTTTCCTCTGCAGCTTTCCAGAGGAACATTTAAGTGGTTTTGACTGTAGCTGTTGTTAAAGTAGAATACTTCAAACTGAAATGTTTTATTCCAGTCTAATTTAATTTTGTGAAGTAAATCAGATTCTTACCAAGAATTGCATTTATGGCGAACAAATCTGTTGTAAATTACAGTTACAAAGAATGGGATGGAGACTGACAGGAACAACTTTAAGGCTTTAAGTAATGCATCTTCAGGCTTTGCCTCATAAATCTGCTGCATTGCAATATCAGTTTCTGATACGTTTTGCCTGCTTTGGCTGGGATGTTTCTGCTTTGTAACTATGCWATGGAAACAATCCCTTTTTCCTGAGCTGTTTGCTTTTGGTGTCATTGCTCACTTAAAATCAAATCCGTTTTGAGTTACACTGATRCAGTCACATGGAGCCTGCTGATTTGCTGAATTAAAGTCTTTCTAGTGAGCTCCATTTGTAAAAAYGGTCAGCAGTGGAGGAACAATTTCTTGGTCAGGTCATGGTGAGGAGATCTGAGTGTCCAAACTTSAGCAAGTTCAAAGTTTCTGAGCCCTCTGCCTTAACCACACAACAAAGTAATGTGTGATGCTTGTCTCTGGGTCTCTTGTGTTACAGGAATCAGATGATGAATTTGGAAACCCTAGTGAGGATGATCAAAAGACGGTACGATTAAACACTCTGCTACATACCTGAAAGATTTTACATTTGTGACACAGTGAGGATGCAAGAAAGAGGAGATGAGAGCTCTATTAACTGTTAGAACTTTGTTAAGCCTGTTTTGTATAACTTTTTATGGAAAGGTCCTGACCAGATGGCACCATATTCTGGGAATGAACCTGGGTTGCACATAAAGATATTCTTACAAGCTGCAGTAGATGCGTAATGCATACGGGATGGCATTGCCTTATACTCGTTTTCCTCAGGAATTACTTGGGAGATATGAGAGTTCAAAGAATCTACCCCAGGAAAACTAGGCTGCTGTGGCTTTATTTGGTCTATAATTAAAATTCTAACCTTGCTGTGCAGGAAGTAAAGAACAGTACAGTTTGGATATGATATGAAATTAAAAAATGCAAACAGTATTTGTTTGAACAGTATATCCATTTATATAATGAATGAGATAGGAAAAAGGATAATGAATGAGAAGGAAAAAGAAATGTTGAGATGGAAAAATTCAAGCCTGATTTTAGTAACTGGTTGTAGAAGAAGGAATTTTACCCATGTTTAGATGTGCCACTACAAARGACTTTTATGTGGGGATTCTCAATCTGAAATGATTTCATGTCTAAMGAGCAATGTTGCAAAAGCAACGCTCATTTAATCCTGTGTTAATAGAACAGTGTTGCAAAAGCACTCAGATGTTACTTTAGCAGACCTTCATAGTGTAACTTTGTATGCCTAATGTATTTTAAGATAAGCTAGTATCTTTGGGGTGTTGGTGATTTAGTTCACTTCCGGGCGGTTGCCTTTGCCAGCCCCCAGCTCTCATCCAGTTCACTTCATCTTTTTTATCCTCTTATTCACAAGACTGAAGCCAAGTGTCATTCTGCTGTCCACCCTAGGAATAGTGCAAGATGATACAATTTTTTACTAGTTGATCACAGKGTTTCTATGTTAAGACTAAATACCAGGTCCTTAGTTTTTGTGTGGCAGTGGTACACTCCTTGTGAGGGGAGCCTTTGTGTCCAGCACAGGGTGTGGTGTGCTAGAGAGTGCAGCAACTTGCTTGTAGCTAAAGGCCCTCCTTCCTTGCCTCACAAAAGCTAAGAAGTACCACAAATTGTCTGTAAGTTTCTGTCTTTTCAGTAAGTTTRATTTGAATATTTTATCTAAGCAGATGTAGTTTTGTGCTTGTTTTGTATGCTAACAKTGTATTACTGGCTTTTAGAGGATAGCCCAGATGAGTGATGAAGATGATGATGATGGCTGTGATCTCTTTGACTCTGAAAAAGAGGATGATGAGGATGGAGACGCAGATGAAAGCACAAAGCCTGTRAGTAATTGTTGCCTTCCTGAAGTGAAAGATTTGTGTTCCCTTATGAAAAGATTGTCCTTAGGGGGATTACAGTCCCTCTAGGGTAGCTCTCAGGTAYCTGGAATGAAATCCTGTCGAAAGTTGCTCTAAAAATCCGGAATGATCTTTTAGCATGATTATTCAGGCTTTACCCCTTTAAACTAGGAGATTGTTGCACTTTATCAAAGCTGTATTTCAAKAACATTAAGAAATTAATTGTTGCATCTTTGTGAGGTAAAGGCCTCTTATTTCTCCTGCTTACAAATCCAGGTGAAGTTAAAAATTTTGTGTTCATCAGGAACTAGAAATTGGGGTTGGTTTTTTTTGTATTCTTGAAGCACACTTAATCTCTGCTTYCATAACAGAAAGCTATATTGTTTCTTCTGAGAGCTTCAGGCRAAGTCTAGACAAGATATTGTAGAAGTGAGACTGTGGAACAGAGTATTTATAAATGCAATTGCATCAAGTTGGTAACTGGATCTTATATAAGAAATATACTGTTATTTGTCAAGGCTACTCAGAAAAAGAAGAGGCCAACATCATTTGCAGATGAGCTGGCAGCCCGAATCAAAGGAGAAGTATCAATCAGACAGGATGAAGAGCATTCATGTACGTTACCTCCTGAGTTTTGAAAAGTGGTTGTGCAGTAAGGGGGGGACTCATGAAAGAATGGGACAGGAGATTGTGGGTAACAATACATGAAGTTACACAGATCTGTTATTGGAACATGTATTAGGTAAATGCCTGACAAGAGGAATTGCTGACACTGTTTTGTGTTCTGAGAAACTTTTTGGCCATAACTCGAAGGACTGAGTTGGAATTCACTGGGAGTGGGAAACATGTTGCTTTCAGGTGAGATAGGTCACTCTCAAAACACAGATTATTGGAAAGGTTTTCTCTTGAATATGATTGTTCCCCTGCATGTTTGACCATATGTACTTTCCTGGAATAACCTTGTGATGGTAAGGCCAGAGGAGACATCTGGAGCCATTTGAGATGCTCAAAGGTTCTGCAAAGGTGTGGAGCCTGTACTCTGTACTGTCTGGAATGCTGTGTTGCTTTCTGACTTGTCAGGTGGCACTAGTCTGTGTGTGAGCAACCCCTAGAGCCTGACAGAATGATTCCATTACAATTATAGGTACTAGTTTTAGAAACTGTATTTCATAGAATTGTTTTTTCAGGCTGATTCATATGAAAGCATAGAGGTCAGCTTGGTTTGCTACGTTTTTATGTTCTTTTTGCCATAGACTGCTCTCAGACTGTAAGTAAAGGTGGATTATTTTTTCATTGAAACTTTCTTCTTAAAGCCCTATCATCAGAGACCAAAACAAAGAAAGCTCCAAAAGAGAAGAAGGAAGCCAGAGTTCCACTGGATGGTAGGATATCCTCTCTTGTTTTTGAATTGTGGGCTGGATTGTAAGATACCACTTAGGAAATTGTGGYCTCTGCTGTGAAAACTGGGTGGAATATCAGTGAGCATCCTTCAAGGTGARTGAAGTGTGAACAAATCTAGGTTGTGATGTACATGTAAAGACTGGAAACAAGCTTAGTGAGARTGCTTCCTTTAGTGTGGCCTTTTGGAGCAACTGCACAACCCAATCTGTCTTCAGCTGCTTCTCTGTATGTGTTATGTTCTGTCAGATGGAGCCAAAGCAATTTTTATTTTGATTGTCTCTAATTCCTTTTCCTGAAATGTGGTCAGTCTTACCAAAGCTCATAGCTCTTGTGCTTTCTAGATGAAGATGATGACATCTTCAAGCCTCCTAAGCTGACTGATGAGGATTTCACACCGTTTGGTTCAAGGGGTGGTCTCTTCAGTGGTGGAACAGGCCTCTTTGATGATGAAGAGGTGAGAATACTGGAGATTATAGAAATGGAGTATGTCCCTCTTTTAAAAACAAAACAAAGGATCCTCAAAAATTCCCACCTCTGGAAGACAGAGGGCAAACAGCATTTTGTCACTTGGTAACATTCAGGTGTTGTGGAATAGCATAGCTTTCCAGTGGGGAAACAGAACTACACAAGTGACATACTTACGTTCCYCTTGGCACAATGTGCAGAGGTGCAGATGAGAGATGCAGGTGTGGTTGAAGCTCTATATTAGACAGGTTCTAATTCCAGGAGAGCTTAGTCAGCCCCTTTCTTTTAGCTGCCGTGGTAAAYGAAATGCCATTCAGTTTATTTATTTTAAATCAGTAAAAATCAGCATCTGTTTTTTCCTACAAAAACAAATTCACCACTTCCCCCCTTTGCATTTTCATTTCTAATCAGAGTGATCTTTTTGCTGAAGCACCAAAARGAGAAGAATCAAAAGAGAGAGAGGAGCGAGTCTCAGTAAGTGAAGGTATGAACCAATAGTTGCCTCCTGTAGTCTTGTCTTTGCTGTGATTTATCACTGCTTGTGGCTAGACTGCTTTGTTCCCAAACTAGAAAGCCTGGTRTAGCAATTGTAGGGCAAGTCTCTTCTTCTCACCAATCATAACAGAGAACAGCTGCATTGAATTTTACATGCGTTAGTTTGCTATGATCTGATACACACACCTACTCTCCTAGAGCTGAAAGGATGTTCTTACTGCTGTTGGACAGCATTCTCTTCATGTACTGGGTTTCTGCTTCTCAAGTGTACTTTGCAGGATCCAGTTGTGGGTTTGAGGAGAGCAAAGATTTCTTTTTGCAGGTTAATTCACATCTGAGTTTCCCACTAGGTGCATATCTAGACCCTTAAGGACTCTGAGCACACATCCTGTATTGCAGCAGCTTTTACTGAAGCACTGTATTTGATGAATTTTCAGATATGTCTTGGGAGACTAAACTAATTTGTTTTGAATGTATTGAATTGGGTCTGTGAATGTGGATTGTTTTAAATAATGCTGTATGTAAACATGTAATGTGCCTATAAGCTTCAGTGTAGTAGAGCTGGAGTTTTAATGGAAGAAACACAGTTAGACTGTTACACACCTTTGCAAAAGCCCAGAARTTCAAGGAGAATGTGTAGAGAGTTCTGAGCTGATGGGAAAAAGAAAAAGCAGCTCAGACAACTTCCTGGATTCCTGTTTCTGTGGTAGAGTTCTGAAGGCTTTGACAGCATAAAACAAGTGCACCCATTTGTATTGTACTTCCTATGATTTCAGCATCCTCTGCAAAGTCCATAAAGAAAGTTCCTGCAGGTGCAGTGTTTCTGTTTCCAGGTATGATTTATTCAATAGCCAATTGCTTCATGCACAAAATGCTTTTGTCTTTAAAATCTACTGGGGAGGTTTTAAAGAGAAAAAAACTATCCAAATACAGYAGCACTGCGTTGCTTGAGCATATGCTTAGTGACACATACAGATGCTTCTACCATGCTAAGCCTAAACTGCAGCATGCTTTATGGATAATCAGGAATCTGGAGGAGCTCTGAAGGTGGGTRTCACTGATGGCAGATATTAGCAACTGTCAGCTTCAAGTGTTGTGCTCTGAACTTTTAAGAACGTGTGTCACTTCAGCTGATACGCAGTTTAATTGTGCCGTGCATGCAGTCACAGCTGACATCTATACTCTGAGAAGGAAGTTCATTTTGATCTTTCACATTTGATTATATTCCCTTGGGTTAGTAGAACAGTTTAAATGTTAAGTTCCTATGTTTAGAAGAAGTTTGTTTTTCTGGTTTTGTTTAGGAGCACCTGCATACATGGGGAAAGACCAGATTTACAACTTGGAGCTAAAAATAAAAAAAAAATTATATGAAGATCTCTGTTCCATGTCAGAATCCAAGCTGATCATTGGAAAGAAATACGTTATGAGTCTTTTTGAATTTACTGACAAAGATTTCTGTCAGTGTGCAAACTCTTTACTTGATTGAGGTACCTGAATTTTAAGTTTTGGCCTTTATTAAAAGGCTTCAGTTAACTGAGCCCTCAGTCAGCATGATTTTTGGAGTAGGAAGTACMCATATACAGCCTTTTTACTCTAGGGTCAAAGATACATGTCAACAATGAGACTTCTACATAATTGTAAAACTCAGTAGCATAGTTTAAAATAGCAGATTGAGGTGTGGGATTTTTTTATCCTTAGGTTTTTCTTGGAGGTACTGTTGCATAAGCAGTGTTTAGTCTTTARTTGCTCCCTCTCAATAACTTGTAGACAGGCTTGAGTTGCCAGAGAAAAACCAAGATTGAGGTTCCTTTGCTATTTTAGTGAACAGATTATTTAGGAGCTCAAGAATCTTTAGTAATTAACTAAATTTTATGGCTGTATTCTTGTCAATACTATGGCACTTTGTAATTGCATAATACACTTCTTTTTTAATAASAAACTGCTGCTGATCACAATTCTTGGGTTCTGCTGACTTTTAACTAAATAACAGCTGTTCTACTTTCCGCCAAAGTTTCAATTTAAGTATCTCCCACCTCCATCTCATTTCCAAGCATCTTGGAATATATGAGAAGCAAAAAGGCTTAGACCAATAGAGGCTTTTGCAGATGATCACAGACATATCACTGAGGTCAGACATTTCCACCTGCAGATGCAGAAAGAACAGTTGCTCTGGCTGAGTCTGTTAATCACTGCTGTATCTGATGTGTGCCAGGATCTGGGGGCCAAACCCAGCCTCCTACTGCAGTACTGCTGGTGGGCTCACATGGCAAGTGCAGCTCCTGGGGAAGACTCAATCACTGTCCTTATCTCTCACCAAGCACCTTGCCACTTTTATTGGGCCACACTGGTGTGATGTACTAGTTAGCAGAGTAGGATTCTGGTTTGGGAAGTCCATAGGGGCAACAATGTGGGACTGGTGGGTCTTCTAGGTTCAGCACAGAACGTGGCTGCTGTTCCTAGGGAAGATGAGCAGGTTTGAGGAAGAAGTGACTGCAGTGAGTGTGAGGGGCTGCCTGTCTGTGACTTGGCTTTATAAGAATGTGTCTAGCCAATGCTTTTGATGTGGCATTGTTGCAGAAGCACCTTAWAAGTTGTAAAGATGGAAACTATGCCTGATGCCAACTTACTATGGCACAAGTTCACCTTTTTGGTAACTCTGGCAATGTTATTTTGATTTTTTTTTCTGCCCCCATCTGACCTGCAGGAGGAAGTGATGTGTTTAGTTCCACTGTAACTGGGGAAAAAGACAAAAAATCTGCAGCACAGAGCACAGAAAAAATTCCTAAACAGCCTGGGAAAGTTGTTCTATTTGATGACGATGATGATGATGACTTCTTTGTGGAAGTGCCTAAAAAGCCTCCAGATCCAGGTACCTCTTAACATTTGCAGTAAAAGATTAAACAACGAAGGTCATCRAAATTCAAACTGGTAGGAACCAATGAGTTAAAAAATTCAAACCTTCATCACTGCTACTTCCACTTGGGTTTTGAGGGGTTGTGTTTTTGGTTGTTTTCTGGCGGTTTATTGTCGAAGGTTTTCTTTGTCATTGATATTTCTTTTCATCAGAGTGGTGTGGGACTGGTTTGTTTGCACATGCTCTCTTCTGACTTTCCTGTCTAAGGATGCTCCTTCTACCATTAGGGCAGTATCTAAACTTGAATCAGGGAATCAGTACAGGTTTATTCACACCCCTATTTGCTTTGTCTCTATGTAGTCAAGTCCACAGCTGACCTATTTGATGATGATGAAGAAGGTGACCTATTCAAGGAAAAACCAGCCATTCCTTCTGTGGTTCCTGCCACAACTAAAGAAACAGAAGGCCATAGGGAGACAATCATGGAAAAAAAGGTATTGGCATATAAATGGGTTGTATGGCTAAGGTTTTAGGAAAAAGTTACTAGTGCAGTTGAAGTAGTCTTTCCGTGTACAACACTAGGAAAGTGACCTACTTATGAAACAGGACTAGGTTCATAGGGTCTTTGATGATTGAGTGCTTYAGTAGTCTTTAAATGCCTTTTGCATTTTAAACTTTGTTTTTATTTGAGGTTTATRTTTGTGTGGGCAGTGATTGAAAGAATCTTGTTAAGTCAGGATTGAAAAAAGAGCAAAATGAGAAGCTTCTGATAATAAAAAATGCTTATGAAGTTCATGGCTGAAATGAAACCAGCCTTAGTTGAGAACCTTTGGTGTCAGAATTGTGTGCTGCAGAGATTTCTCTTACATCAGCCACTGATAGCAACTTAATTAGTAACCCATTGCTTGCATGTATTATGGGAGAGGAGGGTGGGTGTCACAGTTCTACCTAAGCACATACAAAACCTGGAGTGTTTAGAAAACTGGTTTTCAGCTGAAAACTCTTTATTTGTAGCTTTAAATGTGGTCCTGAGCACATATGTAGAGTTACGAGAACTTCCTAATGCCACTTTAAGAACAGTGCCTTGAGGAAAGTAATGCTCTTTGTTTCTATGGTAGATATTGTATATACTGATTTTATTTGCTGTCCAATGAGTATTTGAACATAATTAGCTGCAGTGACTCTTCTCTCCTCTGGACTGAGGAGTGCACAGTGCTGAGGGTGCAAATTSCTGTAGCACTTTCTGCATATTGTCCTATGAGAAGCACCTGAGCACGGGGGCCAAAGCCAGTTTCTATTCCTGCTGTAGTGCCAGAGTATCTCTGGTCAGTGAAGCAGGAGCAGTGATGAGAGGCATCTCATAGCACGAGGAGGAGATTCAGCAGYACTCCTCCTGCTTAGTCAGGATTTGAGGGATGTTTTATACACCAGGCTYTATGACAATAGTGCTTGGGTCTGGGATCGTTCTCAGTTTAATGGCAATATAGCTGGTGGCAGGCTGGGGCTGTGCTGTGATAATGCAGGAAATGACACAAAATACCCTCTTCCATTATGAAACAGAGCTTGTTTAGAGAAACATTTTCCTTTAGCTCACAAGGCCTGGCATGAGTTGCTGCATACATTCTTCTACTGAGAAGGATGGTGTGGCAGAAGAGGCCTGTGGTAAGACCTGCAAGTCACTTGTGCATAGTTCTGGCTGCATGTGATGAACTTAYTCAGCACATGAGTTTTGGGCTTCAGCCCAGGGGTGACAAGCTTATATTCTGTCCCTTCAACAGCTGGGATTTTGCCAGCAGCATGCCTCTAAGCAGGGGTCTGTCATGGTTTAGGAAAGGTACTTCCCAGTTTAGTGCCCCACTGAAACCATGCTGCTGCTCACTCCCACCACCCCTCTGTCCCTGTGGAGATTAGAGCCACAAAAGGCAGAGATCATGGGTTGAGAGAAAAACAATTTACTGGAAACAGCAATGAGATGAGAAAGCAAGCAGTAACAGCACAGTGCTAATGACAGAAAGTACAAGGAAGAGGCAAATTATTCCACTGCCTCTGCCACGCTGAGCTGACTCAGAAGACAGCACCTTCTACCTGGAAGAGACTTCATTACCCCTGCTCCCAGCAAAGACGTGAGGTGGTAGAGAATAACTTCTGGGTCCTGGCCATGCCCCCTCCTGGCTACTGCAAAAAGATGTGCCAGCCCACACTGAATCTAAATGGGTGCTGATGCAGTGTCTTTGTTTGTCCTAAAGAGTCAACCATCTTCAGGTGAGGACTTCAAGCCTTTATCTGAAACGCCTTCAAGAAAACAGAGGGGCCTTTTCTCTGATGAAGAAGATTCTGAAGTGAGTATGTCTTTAAGAAATCGCTACAGAAAATCCCTACAGAAATGCTTGGGATCTGAATTATCCTGATTTCAGTCCACTATTATCTGGGGACTCTTTATGCATTTGGTAAGATTGGGAAATTGGACATCGGTGCATCTACTCCCAACTATTCTGAAAGTTCCTTCTTGCTCCAGGAGTGAGAGCTCTGGGATTGTTTTCTGTGCCTTTAGGGAGTTAACCATTTGTGGTACACACAGGCATAAATTGAAAGCCTGAAGACAGGAAGGAGCAGCAAATAATGAGTAAGAGTCATTAAATACTGCATGTGTTTCATTTCATATTTCTCGCTTTCAGCTAGCAATTGATCTGCAAAGATGAGGAAAATCCCTGTGCAGTTGCAGGTGCTTGGTACATCAAATAAGACAATCTTTCCTACTTCATAGGCACTCTAAACATCTTTTCTCATAAGGAAAAGCATGAGTGTCCTCTTTAGAGTTCTTAAATGAGCCTTGCTTTGTAAAGTGACATTTCTTTGGTTTGCACAGGACTTGTTTTCATCAAGCAAACCTGTGAAGTCCAAAGCTACATCTCTCCCCACCAGCAAGTCCATSACAAAAGCTCCGTTTTCCTTGTTTGATGATGATGAAGAGGTAAGTACCACTTCCTGATACTGCCTCTGTGTGGGAGCTCACCTGCACAGGCTGTTGCAAATGCAGCAGGAAATACTGAGAAGTTTACACCACTGGGCTTGCAAATGGAGCAGTAAATTGATCTTGCATTCTGCAGCAATTCTGATCATGTGGATAGTGCTGTGGAGGAGAGTGGGAGTGGGAGARTCTTGCAAGTTTTTGAGGTCTTTTTAGTATTTTGCAATCAGTGCTTTTCACCTCTGGACTTAAACATGAACAATGTTATCCCTCTGATTGAGAGGACTAGAGAATACTGAGCAAATGTGGAACAAATATGAGCTTCAAGAAGCTTTATCCTAAACCTGTGATACTTGTCACATGGATGACTTCCGGCTTGTCTTGTGCCATGGCTATTGAATTCCTTTTTTCTTGCTCTTTAGTGTATAAGAATTGTGACTGCTAGTATGGAAACTGAGGTCAGAACACAAGTTTGTGCAAAAAGCCTTAAAATTTTTAATAAATGTGTGCTTTTTTGATTTTTTTTATGGTGGTAGTTGATCAGCTCACTTAATCCATGTCCTCTCAGAATACGATTCATTCTCCATTTCATTATATGGGTTAGAAACAGTGCCTCATTTTGTTGGCTGCTGTGCCACAGAATTGCTGAGTGGTGGTTTTTGGCTGCTGGTCAAGCCTTCTGGAGATCTATGGGCCAGAACCAGACTATGTGCTTCAGATGCTGCATGTATAGAATTCCTTGTACCAGAATGTGGTGTTATACTTGAAATTGTCTTCAAAAAACACCATTTCTGTATCCTGCTTACATGAGAAGTGGATGGCAACAGTGTCTTGCATGCTGGAGACTTCTCAATGAGCTTTCATTGTGGCTTTGGCTTTTGATTTTTTTATAAGCTGTATTTTATTTTGTTTTAAGGATCTCTTTGGTGTGGGACCTGCCAAGAAGCACCAGGAAAAGCCCCCAGAAGAGAGAGCAAAACAGTCAGGGCCTCTCAAGAAAGCCTCCAACTTATTGTTCAGCAGTGATGAGGAGGTACTGAGGAGTGAGATTTGGTTGAAAGTGGTTACTGGGCTTTATGCTGAGCAAGGCATAAAACTTTCAAGAAGGGAACCACAGGCCAACTTTGATGTGTCCACATACCATGCCTACCCCCATCCTTTGACTTGTTTGCAGCTAAGGAAGCTGATCCTTGACTCAAATTTTCACAGGATCTAGGTAATAGAAGTCATGTGGAAGAGAAAATCAGTATTTTCAATGTAATTTGTAGGAAGTTTCATAGCAAATCTGATGTAAAAACACTAAAAGGGAAAAACAAGTTTGTTCTAACTGCTTTAATTTCTGTAAGGAAATTTAGCAGTTCTACATAGATATGTGTTTCAGTTTTCTTTGTTTTGGGGTAGGTTTCTTTTGTATGTGGTTTTGTTTATTGGATTGTTTATTTGCTTGAGTTTTGGTGGGTTTTTTCCTTGTTTGGCTGTTTTGGTTTTTTAAATGTAGGGATAGGAAAATGACACATAAATAACAAGGCTTCCCAGAGAGCAGTCCTCTTCTAGGGATGGACTAGGTATAGTCCTTTATCTTAAATGAAAGCTGGAGACACTAAGTAAATTAAAAATTGTCTGGAAAATCTCATGAATTAGCTCATACGAATAGAATCCAGACTCTTCTTAGTCCTCCTACCTCTTAAAATTACTCTGTTGCATAGACTTTTATTACTTGTCCTGTAATTGCTTGTTTAGTAGCCAGCAGTAATATTTTTAGATGGACATTTRTCTTAATGTAGAATAAACCAAGTTCAGGCTTAATCATGCCTGTAGTCCCTTTCAGAAAGAGGACAAACCAAGGTGGGAAACTGGGGAAAACCACTTAAAATGCTGGGAATAACAAAACACACAAGACAGAAATACCTTGTTTAGTGTGTAGGCTTGAATAAATGGTAGCTGTGGGAGGAGGTGGGTACCTGGTGGAGAAGTACTGTGAAGGAAATAAGTGCAGCATCAAGCACGCTAGTAATGAGGTGTCTTGGGTGTATATGTTGTGTTTGGGGTTTTTTTCCCCTTGTTTTATTTTTTTCCCCATACATCAAACTTGCTAACTATTTAAGTGACTCAGATGAGGTTATACTGAGCGACCCTACTCTTTGTGACTGCAGTTGACACTGACCTCAGTTGTCAAGAGCAAGTGTAACAAATTGAGTGTATCCCACTTTGCTGGATAAATACTGTGTGCCAAAAGGTGACCAGGCCCTTTGCAAAGCCTGAGCAATGTCAGATTACAGTGACTAACATGCAGGCAGTAAAGTAAACTGGTAGAGAGATGGAAGAACTGCCAAGATCATGAAGTGTTCCTCACAGAGAAGATTGGAAAGTGGCTTTGACCAAGACAAAAGAAAACTTAATTGTCCCTTCTTTTTAAGGAACAGTGGAATATCTCCAAGCCAGCTAAACTTCCTTCTGAAGATGACCAAAAAGAAGATCCTGTAAAACCAGCTAGCACTGTCAGTCAGGCTAAAGATGTGAAGACGACAAGCCTCTTTGAGGAAGAGGATGAGGAGGATTTATTTGCAATCACTAAAGAGAGGTGACAGTTGTGGGAGGGGAGTGGGGATGCATTTGTTTAGAATAGCTCAGCAGCCCCTTCAAAACCAGACATATTGCCAGCTTTGGTTCTTGCTGCTGGTGTTGAGGAGGAAGTAGGGGGCTGTGAGCAGGAAGGGGCAGGGCTGGGCTCATCTGTATTTGTGGCAGGTCATTCTCCTTGCCACCACTGAACTGGCCTTTCCCTTTCTATGCCTGTGATATAAAACGCTCCTGACCTTTTTTAATCTCCACTTCTGCAGAAAGCTTTGCAGACAAAAAGAGGTTGGTAGAGTTGTTGAGAGAGTGAGGGAGCTGAGTGCTGTATCTGGGAGGACTTGGTGCAAATGATGATCCTCGGTGATGCTTTCAGATGTAGTGCATGGCCACTGAATCTTCCACTTTCTCCTCTCTCGCTGCAGCCAAAGAAAGCCACAGAAGCCATCRTTGTTATTTGAAGATGATGCTATTAATGGAGATTCCTTCTTCACCTCCCAGTCAACGCTACTTCCTTCAGCTGCTAAGGCTGCAGYGGTAACTCCTCTTTCTTTTAGAACTAACATGGAACACTTAGTCTTTTTACAGTCTATCTTCTTTGTTAGGTACTGAATAAAAGTCTAACTCATTTTAGCTATGGTTATTCCAGCAAAYTGGGAATGGGAACAGGGAAGACTGAACTCTTACATGTATATTCTTAGTACTGTTAGCTTAATATAGACTTCAAAATCTTGACCACTTACCCTAAATTTGTTTGGTTTATTCTAAAAGCCCTTCCTGAGGATGTTTTGAAAGCTCTCAACCATAAAATAACACGAAAAGGAACAAACAGCTTACTGCTGACTCAGTAACCAGGGTTTACCCTTTGTGTTACGTTACCCAAGCTGATTCAGATGTGTGAACAGCATTCTTATTGGCCCTCCCTTTTGTGTGCTTATGCCATCCTCTGTCTTACAAGCTTAGCCCATGATGTACTGCCTGTCTTGTTGTGCTTTGGAATTGGGAGTAGGAGATGTAAGGGTTTAACAGAGTTATATATGTAGTGGGGATTCAAGTATGTGTACTTTCTGGCACTCTTCAACCAGATTCAAAACCCCGTAATATTGGACATTAAAAGTCACAAAGCAGAATGTACCATGGGAGGTAAAAAGGAGAAGTATGTTGCCAGTGTCATAGACCTCTGCGGTAGGCAAACTGAGACTCTGCTACTCCACAGCAGCGTATGTTTTTATATATAACCACCAGTTCTGTGTCACCAACATTCTCTTAATTTTGCAGGAGAAAGTAAAACCAGCACAAGTACCGCCTGTCTTTAATGAGGAAGAAAAGGAGGAAAAGGAAGATCTGCTAGATAGAACAGTGAAGTCTAACCAGGTAGCAGATACATTGTGGTGTTCAGAGGAGCCTGAAGCAGCCCCTCTGCCTGGAGGAACAGATGTTGCAGGACAGCAAACAAAGGAAAAAGTGAGGGATTTTCTTACATTAATCTGAAGTTTGGTAAAGATTAAAAAAAACCCACCCAATCTAACAGTGCTGCTCTAGGACAGAAATATTTTTCAGGATTGCCTCTTCTATTGCCAAGGAAAGTGTAACTGTCTCCATTTAGCAAAATCAATTGTCAGTCAAACAGCAAATTGATTGAATGGCATGTTAAAGATGTTTTCTAACTGATGTCCTTGAGAAGGGGTTGGGTTTTTTGGGGGGAAAAGAGGCAGRCAAATTCTGTTTCAATTTTCCTCCAGAGTGGGTTGGGTAATCTTCATTTTTATGAACAGACATTTCCCTTAAAAGATAGCCTGTAGTAACATTAGTCTGATGAGTTATAAAGTGATGTTATCCTGATAACTCTGGCCTTAAAGATTGTGAATTTCTGCTGGGCAATACTATTACAGAGCCGTATTGATGTGTATTGTTGAGTATTATTGCAGAAGCTTCAGCAGAACTATCTTGGRCACAGTCTTACTGAGTGTTGAGAAATTACCAGCTGATAAAATTCCATTGTAGTTCTTATTCTTGGTACTTTTCCTGAGTACAGTGAAGGTTCAGTTAGTGCTGTCCACTCCAGAGTATATATCCAAATATATCCATATGAACTAGGCAACTCAGAGATAATGGCAAAGCAGCTTARTGCAGTCTTGTGGTGCACATGCAACATGACAGAGATGAGGAGAAAACCTTACACAGGAAGCTGCTTATCAATACTGCCTGGACACAAGGGTACAGGAGGAAACTTGTCTTCCTTTCAGAGCTGAAATGTATGTTCGTTTCTTTATCAAATGTCTGTTGCTAATCTGTATATTGCTGTTCTGTCTGTGTGGGAAAAATGAGTTGAATACAGTTGCCTGCTTGGTAATGGATTGCAAAACTGACCACTGGTGGTATTCAACCAARAAAGCTTAGTGAGGGTTGGGCAAACCTGAAATAAATAGCAGGCTGATATGTTACTTTTTTTCTTTTGCTGGAGCCTTTTGCAGTAATATCTTCAGAGCCAGCTGGCAGTTCAGATCTGTTTGCTACATCACCATCTCTGGAGAAAGATGTCAAGAGCCAAACTAAGAAAGTGTTAAGCTTGTTTGAGGAAGAAGAAGAGGAGAGACTGGAAGATGATGATGGCATAAAAAATGCACAGAAAGAAATTGGTGTGGTGAGTGTAGAGAAGTTCTTGAGACCYGAGAAATGGTGTTTCTATCTCTGCTACTCCAGGCAAGGTTTTGTTTTTACCTTCCCTCTCTTCATGTCATGGAGGCTGATGTTTCTCAATTTCTAACCTTCCAGATTCTTGGTTGAGAAATTATTCCTGCTCTTCCTTGTGATCCTAAAATCCTTTGTAAATTTTCCTGTCCCACTAACTTGAAAGCATTTTGCTGCATGCTAATATGAAAAGAAATTCTATACTGATGTTTTGGTGCAGCTACTTGATTTTTGCTGTACAAAATCTGACTCTTCAGTTATTCCTCAAGGCCAAAGGTACTAGGAAGTAGAAGGATGTGGAGTTTTAAGCCTTGTGGTTTATCCCTTTTTTTTTTTTTTTATATTGTTGCAGTTTTCTTGCTGGATATATGCCTTCAGACTTAGCTTAAGACAAGTAATTTTCTTAATCCTATGTTTATTTCTGTTTTTCAAGTATGGGTGTTCATTTTCTAAAAAAGCTTCCAGCTGCCATATTATTACTGCCTGGCTTTTCTGATACACTGTACACCATCAAGAGGTGAACTTGGAATTTTCAGCAGCAATATCCTTGAATTCACGTTCTTGTTTCTACTTGATGAAAATGTACCAGTTTTTTTTCTGTAAATTTGAAGTAGAGTCAAAAACTACATACTATATACCACCACAGTGTACAAGGTTTATTCATCTTTGTGTGACCATGTAAATTAAGTTGCCAACCCTAAAGGCTATGTGCACTTTATTCAGAAGCCCTTGGAATTAAATGAAATAGATGACTATTGGAGAAAAATCACCATTTAGAGCAGTTTCTGAGTTAAAATGTGCTTTCAAAATGTTAGTTTGGGCACTTGTTTACTCCTTGTGAACATATACTGTGTTTATTTTTTTTTGTGGGGAGCATACTGGGACGTGTTTGAAAGAAGCCACATCTGTCCTATGAACTTGGGAAGATAAAAATCCTTTCAAATCTTTCCTTCAAATCTCTCAGCTGTCACCACATAGTAGTCACARAGTGATTAAGGGGCTGAAATGCATATTCATGCAATAATCAGAATGGTAATTTATGAAYTTAATGTTTTTGATAGGCATATCTGAAAGGTGCTGCTACTTTTCTTGCTCATTTCAACTTAGTACATGTCTTGTGTGTGGATAATTCTAGATGTGCATTAKGTTTTAACATATTTGGACATAAACAGCAGTTCTAGTTCTTTAAAAATGTGACCTGGCTTTTGATGTGAAATTRAAGCTGATGCACAGAGAGGCTGAGAATGTAATAAAAAAATACAGTAATAAAAATCATAGGAGAGGGTGACTGGATGAAAAATGGTGTACTGGAAATTAAACTTAGGCAGCCCTTCAGGCTTCCTGGAGACTGGGATAGGAAAGGGGAGAATCAGGCTTTATTCTTATGATGACCACTCTTGCTGCCTGGATTTTGTGTCTGGTGTCATGGTACTGGATATGCAGTCATGCTCTGAAAAGGCATCCTTTCCTTTGAGTTTTTCAAGAGACAAATGGGTGGTGAAACATAGATACTGCCTTTACCAGGACATTTGAGCGGGGCCTTCACCTTAGAGTCAGGAAAAAGCATTTGTTTTGGTGTTCAAGGAGCTGATACTGGTTAGTGGAGGGCTTATGGGGTGTTATGTGTAACTTCAACCTTCCCCACACCAGSAAATTTGAAAGCACAAGTTCTTGCCAGGGGCAGTATGTTCTGTTCTTCCTTGTGGGTGTTTGTTTGCTTTCACAGGAGAAGAACAGGGAGTCTAGCAACAATAATAGACCTTCTGTTAAAAAAAAATTACTCTTTTTTTTGTTCTTCTTTGAAAAGGTCACTTAGGAAGATAACTAAAGAGATTCTCTTCCTTTCACCTCCATGTCCTGTGTCCTTAGATGACATTTTTAAGGCATAAAAACCTTACTGTACTTTCAGKATAACATTTTTTTTCTTTGAAGGAAGCTTCATAGTGAAGGTAAATAGTAGTAGCTGGATCTTAGATCAGCAGAGACAGATACATTGTGGTCAATATCTTCTCATTAAATACAAATTTACATTCTCAGTTTTGAAATTTGGTCAAAATAAACGAAATCAGCAAAGTTGTATTTTTGTTGCCCACTACAGGGTTATAGTGTAGCCTGAGGGGAATTGCAAGCTGCCTTATCACTAGGCAAATGACCTCCTTACAGAGGAGTTTTTCATTGTGTGGACCTTTTTCCTCTCCTTTCAGGCTTCTGAGAAAAGTGCTTGGCCCAAAAGCACTGGGGTCTTTCAAGATGAAGAGCTCCTCTTCAGTCACAAACTTCAGAAGGACAATGATCCAGATGTCGACCTCTTTGCCAGCCCCAAAAAGTCAGTGGTGAGTTCAAAGCCCTCYTCTGAACCTCCTATTTAAAAACAATCTTTGAAGTGTACAGCCCACTGGTGTTCCCTGTGTGGATACAGCCTAGAAGTCACCAATTTCCAKGGAGGGCTGAATGCTAATGTCAGGTGTATTCTGGCATCATGGGCTGAAGGAGATGTGCTTTGGATCTGTGACACATCTTTTCTTTATCCTTTGTTTCTTTAGTCAGCAAACCGTATCCTGAAACCACCAYCTGGAGGAGGGCTTTTTGGGGATGATGATGAGGATGATCTCTTCAGTACTGCTAAAACAAACCTTCTGGTACCTGTTTCTCTACTGTAAATAGCTTATATAAAAAAGATTGGAAAGAAATGTGTGGAAGGGATTTTCTCYATAGGTATACCCACAGGAAATTAAGGGACTTTTCAAATCTTTCTGAAAGAACAGGAATGGTGATTGTGTCCCTGAAGACATACGGAGCAAGCAGATACATTGGGTCTCCCTATGTTGAGATGAGAGAATACACAATTTATTTTTGTGTACCACTGGGACTGGCTTAGGTGTGAGAGAACACACCTGAGCAGAAATCAAAGTAGTAGAGTTTGTTTTGTTTAATTGCTTAATTTGGTTAAATTACTTCCCTGTGATTCGTGTATGACTGATAGTCTTGCTCTATGAGTTATGTAATTCAAGTTTCTGCAGGTTGGTTTGATCTGAGGTAATGATGCAGTATGAAAATCCTCTTGGTCATCTGAGGGCTTTTTAGAGGGCAAGTAGCAGCAGTAATGAACTAGACTGTGATACAGGTGGTCTGAGGTCAAAGTCCTAATATGCATTCTAAACAGCTATCTTAAATGTAGGTAGCTTAATTAAATGGAAACTAACTTTTACTTTAGTCTATTTTCATGTCTATAGCTGGAAGTTAGGCTAGGAAAATGGCATTAGTTCCTGGAAACAGTGTCTTTGAGGAYTGTGGATGGGGTGTGCTTGGGAGCTTGTGTATAATGCTCGGGAGCTATATATGGAACCTAGTTGCTTGAAAACATAAAAATAACACTGTTCCTTAGCTAGCTTTGTGCTTTTATTTTCTCTGCTGTTTTGTTTATGAGGAAATATGCATGCATTTGAAAGTTTRTTGAATCTCTCATTGTTAATTGTTAGCATAGACAGCAAAGGTTGAGGTAGACTAAAGGAATGGAGGAATGAAAGGCCCTTGCCTTGCAGAGCCAAAAGCCAATGCCTATTATAGTGTTGCTTGTGTTCTTTTGGGGTTTTGCTTTTTTTTTTTTTTTCTGATCTGCTCACCATGCTTTTTACCCATTCATGTTAACTGGTACCCATAATGCTTTCAGAAAACAGCTGAGAAGAAAACTCTTCAGACCAGTGTTGGCCCTTCCTCAGTGACCAGTAACCTAGAAAATGCTTTAAGTGCCAAGCATGATGAGACTCTGAAGGCAGCAACTACAGAGGCAAGTACTTATATCTTGTGCCTTGAATAGCATGCAAAGAAAATGGAGATGTCCTGGTTTGATTTGAGTAGTGGAGGCTGTGACCCAGAGAAGATRGATGTTGTTCAGTTACCATGGCAAAGCATAATATTGGGTTGAAGGAAGGGTGAATGAAATGTGATAATGAAGATGGGACCATGGCATGTGGGAAACTGAACACTGTGTGACTATAGCTCTAGTGGTAGAATGTGATGATAACAAGGTTATCTTCAAAATAAATTGGTAAGCAATTAGTTGCTCTCTATAGATGTACTAAAATGCAAACTATGGACTGGTTTATAACAACTTCTCAACTTGTTTAATCCAATGTAATTTTGTGCAGAAATCTACAGGTCCTGTTCCCATTAAAACCAAAGAGCCTTCATCTCGGATTGGAAAGCTACAAGTAATTAAATTTACTGGCATTTTAACTGTCCAAAAAAAATACAATCTTCCTTGCCTCGCTGATGGCTTTCACTGAAACAAAATCTTATTCCTTCCTTACCTTATTCTTGCAACGTTATTTTTTTCAGATGGCATATTTTTGATTGCTTTTTCTGTATTGCATGTTTAATGTTATTTCCTCCTCCTTTTTCAGTCCTGACTCTAAGCAGCACTATTTACTCATATTTGGGGGGCAGAGGGTGGGCTCCTCTTTGACTTGCTATTGTTCTCAGCACTATTAAGTATGTTTAGAGAGTCACAGGGTTATGTTTAGAGACTCCTAGGGGGGTCTATGGTTATGTCCCTCTTCTGACATGAAATGACTAATAACTGTCTGCATCACAGTACCATTCAAAGTCAGAACCATCGTGTCCYCAGAGAGAATATTGAGCTACATAGTTGTTTTTTCTGGCATAACTTGACCCTGCTGTTTCTGAAGCTCTTACACAGAATAATATTGTTGACCACTCCACAGTTTTATTAGACAGAGCATGTGGGAGACACAGATGTTCATAGGTCTGAGAAAAGYCAGGTGCATTAAAAGTAGAACTTGAATACCCAGGTACACTAGTTCTTGCTGCTTCTCTGGAACCATGCTTGCTCTGGAGGAGTAGTAATGTGATCTCTTTTTGTGAGCATGTTTTCATTTTCTCTGTTTTGTAGGCTAACTTAGCTATTAACCCTTCAGCCTTACTACCTGGTGCAATGCCTAAAGTCTCCAATGTCAAGTCGCCCTTACCAGTGCTGGACACTCCATTACATGAGCCCAGGGATGTACAGAACAATGAAGCCTTCTCTGCTGCAGGAAGCAATGAAGAGCTTGGTGTAAGCTTTGATCAGCCCATGCAAGCAGACACCTTGCACAGCGCCAATAAGGTAACCTTGGTATTTAGGATGAGAAGAGTGAGGATTAAAAACCCATTATTAACAGATTATTAACCTCTATATAACACCCACGTTTTCTTAGTAGGGATTCAAGAYSAGTTATGTGCTGTACTTACAATGGCTTTGTGAACCACTAAGGATCCTCATATGTCAGTCTTGTATTTTTATTTTTTTTTTGCTTTATACTCTATRATCTGAGTATCCTAAAMTTCTGTCCTTGTGCAGGAGTTTGTTTTGGTATGCAAGTTGTGCTAACAGTGTGGTTTATCTGGATCTAAATGGAAGTGTGAAAATCTAATCCACTCTCATTTCCRTGGATCACTGAAGAGAAAGTCTAGCTTAGCATATACCTATAATTAGCTCTGTAAGGGGCTTATGCATATACCTGGTGCCTTTTTAAAGTACGTGTGTATRTTTTCCAAATACTGGATTTCCCTATTGGTTGAACGTATGTTACCACAACATCTTGTCCTATCCCAGGAGATACCAACCTAAAAAAMCATTAAAAAGACATCTCGCTAGGCTAACTATAAATTACGTTAGAGGCAGCTGCTTTGACAAGCTATCCAGAACACATCACTGCTGTAGATTGACCTTTACCTCCTCTGTGGATACAAATGTCATGCTGTCCTGAATTGTCACTCTCAATTCTTTTTCAAAGAAAACTTTTGTTTTCACAGAAAGCAAAACAAAAAGAAGTGTTACAGCTTTTGACGTGGCAAACCTCTGCCTCCTGACTCACTTGTTTTTCACTCATACTTTTTACTTTGTGGACTGCAAAAGGCATATTCCAATTAAAAGTTTAGTAAAAAAAACCAGAAGTGTCAACCATGTAGTTAAGATTTAATYGAACTGCTTATGATTTTATAAACCTCTGGGGTTTCCTGAGAGCAGCAATTTGAGTAARATAACTTAAAATCTTAACTTTGATTCTTTCTTCCCTTAATGCTGATGAGGCTGCTCATTACTAGATGAGCTGCAGAGATGACTTGGGAAGATCCAGCAGCTGTCACCACAATGGTTGACATGACCCCTTGGTGACAAGAGTTTGAAGCTTGTACATCAGACTAATGCATTACCATGTAGGCACAGTTGTTTCTAATAGCAGCCTGTCCCAACAAAGTGCTYTATTGTGATACTTGTAAATAGATATGCTTGCAAAGAATAGAGTGCCTGTAGCTGCATATGATCAATCTTGAATGTTTATTTTAGTGTAGAGATGATGCATTTTTTTACAGAAGTAATTGAGAAGAAACATTTTGGTAACTATAGAGTGAATGYTTTTTGTGGCTTAGGTTACATGTTGTAAATTTGGCATATTATTGCTTCTTCAACCTTTCAAGTTGTGTGTAAATATATCCAGTCAAATGCACTTTTTTCCAAAGGCTGGAACAAAACACCCTGCCCAGTATTCTGCCTGCCTTTTCAAGGAACRGTGCTTGGAACAATTAACAAAAGGGAAGAAGAGGGTTAGTGATCCATTTCCTACCCGTGTAAATACTCCTGTCCGGTGTGGATAGGGGAGAGGTTATAATGAAAACTTGCAGGGGGCTTCCTTAAAACCAGCAATTAACTGCACCAGGCTATGCATAAAATGAAATTGCATGGAGAATATAAATAATTAGTAATGGCTTGAACTGCACTGTAAAAGTCCTCAGATTAGCAAGCTATCAGACTGACTAAAGTATTACCTAAAGCCAAAGGGCTAGAGTGGCTTGCTGACCTGTTGTGACTCTACTTGTGAGTGCTGCYGCTTTTATACACCAGTTCCCCCTGCTGTGAAATGAATAAGGGCAGCAAATCAGAAGTCCTGGGTTCTGAACCTTTCTCCAAAGTGTTCCAAGCTTGAATGTCCCATGTGGCTTTTCTCTTCTATATAATCCTGCTCTCCTTTTCCTCCTTCCTTGCAGACCAGGATCAGGGTTCCAGGAAAGCGCAGACCCCCTAGCASAATGGCGCGCCGTCTGGCTGCCCAAGAGGCTGAAGTGAGTGACAAGGTGGACACCACTAGAGARTCACAACTTTCTTTACCAAAACAGACATCAGCAGTAGTGAACATAAAGGAGCCTCTTGCTACTGAAGCAGAGTCCCAGGAAAATGGCTTTCTCTCTAGCTTGTCACTACCAGCTCACAGCAGTGTTTTGTCTGGGACAGACAAAATCCTTCCTCCAGAATCCACAGAAAATGGGGATGATCTGTTTGAATCTGAAGACCTTTTTGCAAGCAGCTCAACATCCAGACCATCTGCACAATCAAAGCTGAAGGAGGGAATGCCAGACAGTGTGGCTAACAAACCCATCAAGGGCAGGGAGAAAAAGTCTGATCTGGGTGATCAGGACAGCAATGATCTCTTCCAGCCTGTACAACAAAAATCTTCAACAAAAAGCAGCCCTATACCTTTTTTGGAGGAAGAGGAAGATTCTCTCTTCACCTCTCAGAAAACTGGAAAAAARGAGTTAAAATCTACTATCCACCAAGCAGTTGACCCTACTGCCCAAGATATCTTTGAGGTAATGGCTGAACCTGCCATGTTGGTTTTTTGTTCCCCAGGCTATATGCAGACCCCTATAATTTAGGCTTAATGGCAGCTGCTGAATAGGATGCGGTGTGCARGATAAATAGTGAAGTAAACTCTCAATCCTGCTCCACTGCTGAGAAATATTTTTGGCTGTTCACCCTGTAATTAGCAGCAGTGGTTTAAAAGGTGGAACCTTAAAGAGCAGGCTTGCACTGAATGTGCTGTGGCAACTATCTTTTTCAGAAAGATATCTTTTACCGGTTATCTGTCTGTTCAATGCCCAGCAGCTCAAATAACTTTAAAAAAGGACTAAAATTGGTGGGCTGGGCACTTGATACAGGCCTCTGTGTGCTGTACTTGACCTGTGTACAATCCACTACTAAGGTGCTTCTGCCAATTCCCCCATAAGGAAAAGACTCTCAAACTTCTTGCTAGTTAGGCTGGCAGAGACTTCTCAGATTGTTGAGTTCACCTTTTGACTGATAAGCCCAAGAAGCCCAAAGCTTCTGAATATCTCATTGTACAGATAATTTGACTATTCTCTTGAAGTCTGTTGTGGATTAATGAGATCTTTCTATGTTTTTCTCCAAGGATGATATATTTGCTACTGAGGCAATTAAGCCAATGACCAAACTGAAAGAGAAAATGCCAGAGACAAACCTGTTTGATGATAACATTGATATTTTTGCGGATCTAACTGTAAAACCAAAAGAAAAGAAGACCAAGAAGAAGGTGGAACAAAAATCCATATTTGATGATGATATGGGTAAGTGTATATATAAGTAAAAACCTTGCTACTAGTCATGTAATAATGTCCTGAGTCGCATTCCTCTAAGATGTTTTAGAACCCTCTGCTTTTACTTTTCAGCYGCTCTGAAATCTCTGGTCATCTTTGGATTTTAACCTTGGATGAGAACTTTCTGGATTTGTAGAACTAGCATGGCATTTAAGTGGATTAGGAGAATGTATAAAATTGTTCTGAGGGAAAGTTTAATTTCTGTAGGGATTTTCTGACCGGTAGGAACTATTCCATACACATTTCTAAGAGACTCATCTCGTGTTGTTATGGCTGTAAGACAGAAACAGTATTTCAATTTGCACAGCTTTTTGTATTGTACTTTCAGATGAGTCATTGATAYGAACAAATTAGCATCTCTTCCCATCCCACCTTCACTATTGTGTTAACTACCTTGGAGCCCATAAGTTTTTGTTTACATTCATGTACTCAGGACAATTTATAGATACTACACCTGAGAGCAAATGTTTGCCATGTATAAGTTGTTGAAAAAACAGTTAATAGTAATGTGAAATCATGCAAAACAGGCTCCTTTCCTTCTCTGTCAGCAGAGATACTGAAAGTAATTTGATTCTCAGCTGTGTCTGTTCTCAGGCTCTTCATGTTCATAGCTCTTCTTTGAGATTGCCCGTATTTCTTTTCTAAGACAAAAATTCCACTCTAGCTTTGGTTCTTGTCAAGTCTTCACTTTCTCTAACTTACTCAAAGTGAACCTGACTTACCATTATTTTACTTTGACTGCTGCTAAGCATTYCAGTCTGATGGCTGAAGTTTGTAAATGTGCTAGAACACTTGCTGGAGAATGAACATATTGAGATTTCAAAATCTTCTCAACTGATACAAAAAAAAAAGACTTACAGGTTTGATAGGAAGGTATTTGAAATACATATTGGATGATATTTAAAARTATTTTAATCATTTACATTTTTTCATGTAGTCTATAGTCAATGAAAATTTGCCAAGCAATTACYCCTTCCAAATATTCAGCACAAAAATCTGGACTGAATGTTGAAAAAACAGTTGTAGAGTGCCACTTGAAAATTAGCCACGACAGAACCTGTTGTTTGTACTTACCCYTTTGACATCGACTCTGGTGCTAAAGCTTTGTGTTTGATGTCACARCTGATCTTGATGCCTATTGCATCTAAAGAATCTGCATCTGATGGACTTCATCTTCCTCTTGGGTGGTGACTGTTTAGTGGTACAGCCATAGGTATGCAGCTTCTTAGCACCCATGGGGCTCTGGAACACCAACAGGAGTGCAGGGAGATGTGTGAAAATGAGGATGTCCAGMTGGCAGTAGAGTTGTGGAACTGGCACTTGCCTACATTGTACATTAAGGACTGGCTTCAGTGATCATGGTAGCACTTTATCAGAGCTGTATATTGTCGTCTTAGGAGAGCCTTGCTGCTGCAGATGAAACAGTAAATAGCTGCACTTTGAGGAGGGTGAAGGCTGCAGGCTGTTTTCTTTTGTCCTACCACAACTTCCAGTYACTAGAGTCCTCAATCATCTTACGGCTGATGCCACCTCTGCCTGTCTGCAAAATGGTGACTGAGCTTTCTCAGGCTCTGACAAATACTCTTTTCCCTAAGCAAAATTTTTCTATTCCTTAAGCCTTGTTATAAAATGGGAGTGATACTTCTWCTGCTTATGGCACTCACTGTACTTCCCCTCTGCTCTAAAGCTAATCCATGTGCTAGCTTGCTTTGGAGTGATGCCAGTATGGGATTAGTCTGTTTTGCTGCCTTTCTAAAATGCTCTTGTCCTGAAATGCAGGATAATTTCTGTGTAAGCCCTATGATCAGCACAGTAACAGACACATGCTGAATTGGAAGAAGTAATGAGAAGAGAGGGAAACACATTGTGATAGAGCACATTGTGCTTGGCCTCTGCTGAAGGTTAGGCTACATGCTGAAGATGGAAATACGAGTTTTTATACTCTGGACTAGTAARTCACAGAAAATTTTGACCTGGAAGGGACCCACAAGGATCGTCAAGTCCAAGTCTTACATGAAYAGGCCATACAGGGATCAAACCCACATCCTTGGTGTTATTAGCACCATGCTCTAACCAGTATCATGCTCTAACCAGCTGAGCTGATCTCAGTGGCTATATTAACCTCTGTATAATCCCCAACGTTTTCTTAGTAGGGATTCAAGACCAGTTATGTGCTGTACTTACAATGGCTTTGTGAACTACTAAGGATCCTCATATGTCAGTCTTGTATTTTATTTTTTTTTTGCTTTATACTCTATAATCTGAGTATCCTAAATTTCTTAATTTTACAGTAAGAGATACACTGTTGTGTATGCTCAGAAAACCTTAAGGCAACCCCTCAGCATGTGTATGGTAGCAGTTTCATCTCTTTCCATGAGCATAACCCTAAAACACGAACAACTCTAGATACAGCAAGAACTGCAGCACTGTGAGCTCTGCAGCTGACACAGACTATCTGTGTTGGATGGTTTAATTTCTGTGTGGTGTTGTCCTCTGCCTTAATGGCAGTGTGATATTTTTCCACCCTGTGGTCCTAGTTACTCRCATCAGAAATGCTTATATTGAGAAAGATGGTGGGAGACCTCGATTCAAGACTTTAGACAGACTTTTGGAATATTCATTAGGACTGTGGTTATAGTTGTCTGCCTTCTTGCATCTTAATGCTCTGTACTCGGGGGATTTATATTATGTTCTTACTGTGYTGTAAATTAGACTCACGGTTAATGCATATCACCACTGTAGTTGCCAGCAATTACCATCTTTTCCTCTTCTGATTTTCTTTAGCAACAACCTCACAGCTGTTGGATCTCTCAGATTCCTCAGACACTTATGTTCTAGATAAGAGGGATGTTATCTGGCACTTGCATGACAGAATTTATTGTGGAGCTTTAATTTATTAGTACTTTTCAAATKCTTATGAGAGCCTGAATATGTTATAAAATACAAGTATTACGCTGTCTACTGAGAAGAAAAAAAATTCTTAATTTGACTTACAGCTAWTAGCTCCCACATATGTCCTTACAAATGCATCCAGAATCACAAGTAACAGGAAAGCATTTGTTTATCACAGAATGTCCTTGGCAGTCACTGCTGTATGCTGGAGTCTCTTATGTACAATGTTACTTCTGTTTAGTAGTCACTTCTCATTAAAATCTATTTTGTTTTTGTTCCTTTCTTTAGATGATATCTTCTCTAGCAGCCAAGTCAAGGTACCCACTCCTAAAACCAGATCTTCCCCAGCAGCCTCAGAAGCAAAATCTGAAAGCAAGATCCTGAACACGTTTGATGATCCGCTGAATGCCTTTGGAGGCCAGTAGTCACAGGGATGTATTGCAGAGAAGCAGCCTTCCTTATGACCTGTCCAGTACTAATACTCTGGATTCTCTAATTCAGTAGAACTGGAATGAGATGGACATGGATATTTAAATGAGATTACCCATTTTAAATGGTTAGTATTCTCTTGTGCTACTCTAATTCTGCTAAATTATATATTTTTTAAAAAATACAGTAAYCTCCTGCTATCATGTTTCCATGGTGCCCAGATGAATATAGCCTGTGCAATACCTGCAATGAAGTAATCTATTATATAAAGTATAGTTTGTTTTATTGAACAGATCTATAGATAAATAGTAAATGGAGTCTGTTAAAACTTGATCTGTCTTCATGTCGTACTTTCCTCTTTACCTTTTGCTTAGAACGTCTGCATCATGACTTGAAAGCARTCAAAAACACAACCGTGCCTTGTCTGGGTCAGCTGCCACCTACTGAGCTAATGGTAGAGTAAAGCTGGGTTTGGTATCAGGTACAGCTTCTCTTATGGAATTAAGTAGTTAGGGAATCTCACAAGGACCTGACACCAGCTAGAATGAGGTATTTCACATAGGCAGCTGATGAGGGCAATAAAAATGACARTGGTTAGTACTTCTCTGCCAAGAAGAGTGTGTTAAAAATAAGCACAGAGTGCTCCATGAAGACAASAGAAACCTAACAGTTTGTAGGATATAAAATAAGATTTTTCACCTGCATGGAGTTGCCACAGTTTTGCAAATAACACTTTTCACAAAGTCYATCTGYACAGAGCWTGCTTGGTCACTTCCAGGCTAACAAGCCTATGTACATACATGATGCAGAGACACTGGTGCCTAAAGGCTTGCTGTCTCCTTTCCCCTCTCATCCACAACAGTGTAGGCTGTTTACAGCAGGTTGCTGCTCTCTGGAATCCCTCTAACTGTCTGATGTATTTGGCTTACCTTTCCTTCCTGTATTTTTTAGATACCCTTCTGGAACAGATGCCATTAACCATACTTGATACCCAATGGTAGATGCATACCAGCAGAGCAAATCCATGAATGCAGGAGGATCAAATGTTTATTTTATTGTACAAGTGACAGCCTGCAATTCTGACTAGATTCACTGCTTTTATGATTGTGATGTTCTACTTTATCTCCAACTCTTAAGACTGGTCTGCTCTTTGTGAATTCAAAGCAGGTGCTCAAAGGACTTCTTTGAGACCAATTCCCACTTCCACTTAAGTCCTTGTTCTGAGACATCTGCTTCARTCTCTTGCTTCTCAAGTTGGTTTTCCTTTATCAGGCACAGTAAATAGTACAGCTGAAACATCTAGCACTAATGAGGGCAAAACAGAAGGAAGGCTGGATGGGATAAAGGAGAAATATGATGTATTGATTTGCACCATAGGGGGGCCTGGAAATGATTCACGTTAAGTGGGGAGTAAGTTGGGAGTAGCAGCTTGAAAGAGAGTGCGGGGGCTATTTGCAAATGGGTGCCTACAGTAAAAGCGTTTGAACTTTATTTATAGGCATTACATCTGCTGCATATGCCTCATACATGATTTGGACTGCTTCTTTACTCCTTTCTTCTGTGCTTAAAAGGGCCTCAAAGATATAATGGAGGAAAGAGGAAAAAGATGGTGAAATCTTCTATTTCTTTTCTGCATCCTCCTSTCTTCTTGGCCCTTCATATTAATGACTTCTATTGGTATTGCACAGAGGGCTGTTCACAAGCTAAGAACCCTGAGAGTCAGGAGCTCTTGGAGTATAAGAAAAAAAGCTCTTGCCTTAAAGTGTTTCTTGAACTTTCATGTGAAAGCTCAGCAGAGAAAAGCTCTTCACAGAAACTTGCAGTATGATGTAGAWCAGAACCTATCTTCCCACCTAGTCTTTCTAAACTGGCACAGGGAGAGCCTTTGTGCCTCTCCCTGTCTCTTCACATATTGAAATCTGTAGTCCTCAGTTTTAACAGACAATAGAGCCTGGTCTAGGCACTTCACCTGTGGGAGGGAGGGCTTGGTCAGTGGTGACTTTTTAAACTAGAGTTTTAGCTAGAGTGTTTGCTTTTGGTCTGTGWTGGCTTTTTGGAATATTTTGATGATTTCGGGTTTTGTTGGTTAGTTTTTGGGGTTTTTTTTTTTGCAAATCTGATAAACCACAGCTGCCTATTTCTGGGAAGGGCAGAGCTGAAGGCCCCATTCAGAAGCTCTTGACAGAGGTTCCCTGCTACATGCTTCTGGAAAGCCAGAGTTTTCACTGAGCCTARCAGCTAGTCAGAGTAGACCTTGCGTATTCTAAAACCTAAATGGAAAGTAAAGTGGTTAATGTAATTAGCACCTGCTAATACAATAAGCTTGTTTTCTCTGGCCTGTGATCATCCAAGGGGACCGCTGCTTCTGGACCCTGGCCTGGCCACCTAATGCTGAAGCGAGAGCACAATCGAGGACTGACCTTCAGCGAAGGTGCCCGAGAGCTGTGCCCGATAGCTGCCAGGGCCGGGAACGCTCGCGTCCTGGCTGGGAACAGTCAGCCCACCCCTCCCTGCCGGGCCCAGCGCTGCGCTCGGACCCGCCGGCAGTGCCTGGGAGCCTCTCGGGCTGAGCGTAAGGTGTCCGTGCTGACTTTGCAGGTTGGCCCTGAGCAAAGGCCGGCGGTGCTACGGCCGGGGTGAGCAGCCGCACCAACCTCAGCTTTAATCTGCCTGGGCCGCCTCCCCAGCCCCGCCGCACTCGGCATCCCAGGAGGCAGCACGGCCGRCGCCGCTGTCACGTGTCCACCGGTAGCGCTGGGGGCGTTGCACAGACTCAGTGAGCGGTTTGGGGCGGAAGGGACCTGACAGCCCATCCCGTTCCCCTGCCCCCCCGGCCTGGGTAGGGACACSTCCCAGCGGATCGGGCTCCCCGAATCCCCATCCAGCCCGGCCTTCACCGCTCCCAGGGATGGAGGAGAGTATCCGGGTCCTTCCGTGCGCACGCGCTGCCGCCCCGCGTCTTAACGACCACAACAAGCGGCCCGGCGGGCGCCGGCCCCTGAGGCACGGCGAGCCCCGCCCCCTGGGCGCGCTGATTGGCCGAGGTTCGTGAGAGCGGGAGCCCCATTGGCCCGCGGGAGGAGCTGTCACAGGGGCGGGGTCTGCCGGGCGGCGCCTCCCGCTCCTGCCCCTCCGGCGGCTCCGGCTGCGCTCCCGGTCCGTGCGTCCCGCCGGGCCCGGCCGGCTCCGGCAGCTGCGGCGGGCGGGGCGGCGCGGGGGGAGAGGAACCGTGTCCCCCCTCGAGTGGGCCCGGCGGCGGCAGGTGAGGTGAGACCCGCCTTCTTTCGGCGGGTTCCGGGCCCTCGGGAGCGCCCCTCCTGCGGGGATCCTGCGGCGGCAGCGCCGAGCGCGGCGGGGCAGAGGGGCCTTGCTCGAACCTCCCTGGCCCGGCCCTGCCGGCGAGGTGTGTGTGTCGGGAGGAAGCGGGACCCGGCGGCAATGGTGGCGGAGCCCGTGGCCAAGCCGGGGTGCGAGGCCGCCCCGAGGCACGGTGGCAGCGGGGACGGGGCAGCTGCTCGCCCTCCTTTGTTCGCAGGCGCTCCGCTCSGCTGCCGGGGTCCGGCCCCCGCTCCGGTGCGGCGCTGGGCCTCGCTGGAGGGAGCACGGCTGAGCTGTCGCTCCAACTGCCTTCCCTGAGCCCGGACCAGTCCCTRTTCTTACTGTCTTTGTGGAGTTTTTCTCTAGCTCTGACACTGCGGAGGGCTCAGCTCTTGTCAGGAGGCATTGGGCGCTCGGTTGTCTTGTCGCTTGTGGAAACAAAAGTAACAAAGGTAGTAGGTTGCATCTGGAATGCTGACACTAGAGCCTTTAAACTACAACGTCACTAATATCATTTGTGGTTATCTTGCCCTATCTAGGTAATAAYTTAATGTTTCTTAACAGCCATTTTATATAAAAGAAATTTAAATTCTCTTTACCAGCTACATTTAGATGTTGTCAGAACTATATTTGTTTGCTTTATAGGTGAAAAATCCTAAAGATGAACAGCAATGCACTACACGTGTCTTCAAAGCTGCCTTGGCTAGAAGTGGAATGTAGTTTCCTGACAGATCTTCTTACAAGGAAGTTGTAAATCCTTTCTAATGGCCAACAAGAAAGAGCCTCCTTTTTTCAATAAAGATAATATGGGACCATTTCACTACAAACTTCCTTTCTATGAAACTATGGAGCTCTTCATTGAAACGCTTACAGGAACCTGCTTTGAACTGCGAGTTTCCCCCTTTGAAACAGTTATTTCTGTGAAAGCTAAAATTCAAAGACTGGAAGGTACTATTCTCTCTTATTTCAGCATAAACTTTATCACTTTAGAAGAAGTCTTGTTTTAAAAAAATTATTATTACTAAATTCAAACCRGAAAACTTAAATGTCATGTTTAGTAATATGTATAAAAACTAGATGCTCAGTTTATGGCTTAGGTTTAATTGGAGCTGAGTTGTTTTTCTATTCTTGCCTTTTTCTATAAGTTCATGGCTTAGGCTTCACTGGAATTGGTATGTTTGYTCTTMTGGTGGGTTGGTTGGGKTTTTTTTTCTATRTACATTTATTAAGGTTAATCTTAAAAACTCTGTGSGTTCTCTGATCCAAGTTGTTTGTTAACTAGCAAGGTTATAAACTTGAGCCATGCAATATGTCCATATTGTAACCGAGCATACTTTAAACTTGCTGCCTATGTTTGTTGCTGATTAGGTTAGTCAGTTTATGGTTTTTTTATGATACTGCAGTCACAAGAGCAACTGCAGTGCAGGCAAATCCCAAAGGCAGCTTTAAGTTACTGATTTGAATTTTGTTTAGGTGAGTGATCTTTTGCTGGTCGCTGCCTGGCTAAACAGTGCTTTGTCGTAAAGTGATAAGCTTGATGCATTTTGTAAGGTGAAAACCTCCTTTAAGTTATGAGGCCAGTCCTGATGCTTATGCAAGAAGAAAAGGTGTAGGTTAGTCCCCTCTTACCCCTTTTCCTCTTCGGTGAGGATGACTTTGTATGAAAGAATGTGATTTGAAAAATTTAGATGTCCGTATTTTAACAGCTTTGAAGCATTGCATCCTCTTTTTCACTTTGGAGGGGTTAAAGAACTGTATAGCTGTAGAAGGTGAAAGTATCAGAGTTGCTAGTGTTAAGAACAAAAGGGATCCTCTCCTTTCCTAGTATACCTGTACATGTTTTCCATTATTCTGTCTGTGTGGAACCCATCCTCTGGGACATGTAATAGGATGCTGTAGACTGGAATCTAAGATACTCTCCTCCTCTTATGGAAATCTGCTCTAGTGGATGGAAAAAAAAMCAGACAGCTGGTGCAAGTCTTAAAACACAGAAGCATTGCAATAAYAGAGGGGACTATTTA